GACACAGATTATGAGAGGGGCGAGCAAAGTTGGAATTCTGATTCCGCGGACGACGGGTCATCACCTTCGTCGGCAACTTGGGGACCGCCAGACCAGTGTGGCTGGAGAGGTGTGAATAATTATTCCGGTGTAGCTGCGGGAATAAATATCATTGCAGCTCGACATCACTGGCCGGCTTCCTCTAAATCGCAACTGAGGTGTCGTGTGTGCTTTTCGCGTGGGAAGCGGTCTAGCGTTCGTACGAAGTGCGTGAGCTGCGACGTCGGACTCTGCATTTCGGAATTTTTTCGGCAGTACCATACGAAGGCCACATTACCATAGATGACGCAGGGGGGAAGGCTGTTTCCTCATGAAGATGGTGAACATATATCACGTAAGTAGAGCAAAAATTTAATTTTAAAAAAATCTTTACACGCGTGCAATGCGCGAAATCATATGAGGTCGTTCGGCCATATGACGTTGGTAGATTACATTAGATCACGCAGGAGGGAAGGCTGTCACCTTATAAAGGTTGTGACCAAAAATTATATAAATAGAAGAACAATTTATATTTTAAATTTAATTTAAAAAAAATCTTTACACGCGTGGAATGCGCGACATCATATGATGTCGTTCTTAAATTTGTCCTTACTTTTAACGTCATATGACGTCCCTAGATTACATTAGATCATGCAGGAACGAAGGCTGTCTCCTTATAAAGGTGGTGACCAAAAATCATGTAAATAGAACAATTTATATTTTTAATAAAATATTAAAAAAAACCTTACACGCGTGGAATCCGCGACATCATATGATGATGTTCGGCCAGCTGCCCTAACTTTTAACGACATCATATGATGACGTTCGTCCGATAAAGGTTAAACATCTGTAATTCAGAAACAATGACGAAAAGAAGCTTACATTCCAGCTCTTCAGAATACCACTACTACAATAAAATGAGAATGACTTATAATGAGGACTGCATTACATCAAGAAAATTTACTGGCAACATTGATTTCTTAATGTTATGCATATGGAATAATCTTGTACAAAACGACAGCTTTTTTCTAATACTTTTGTTATAACATGCAATTTCTATGCCACAGCTTCTTGTTCTGATTCTACTTGCAGTTTTCCTTTCCCAGCTATTTAAAGCAAATGGTTTGAAGATACCATTAAACCATATCCTCTGCCTCCCCTTTGTCCAGGGGAGGAAAGTTCACATTTTAGAATCTTAAGTGCTCTAGTCTGATTACATAAACTACTTAACCACAAGGCAGAAGTGCTTAGTGTGTATGCATACATCCATTCTAATGTGCCATCAAAAATGCCTCAAAATTTATGGAGAAAGGGACAATACTGTAACGTGTATAGCTAGGCATTGGTCAGATAAACACCTCGCTTAAGTGCGTCACATCGATACAAGATCATTGCCAGGCAATGGCTCCATAAACACATTACAACACACAATAATGGAAGCTGTGTTCTCCATGGACGAATGTTACAACTTGTTGCTAAGCAGCAGTCAGTGCACCAATGAAGTAGCTGAGTAGTGATCACATGACACGTGTTTTCTGTATTGTTCATGCTGCAGCTATATAATGTGAATCCGCTTGTAGCTAGTGCAGTCAACATTTGAGAGAACTGGGCTGGCACTTCAGAGGTTCGTAGTTGAAGAAGAATTAGAGTCGGCCTGTGAAGACTTAGTGTGTGATTAAAAGATTTAGTCACAGTGATAGTGTTTTAATTCTGTTACCAGGAGACGATTAGTGAAGACTGAGAATCCTGGTGTGTGTAATGGTGAACTGTAAATTGTGTAAATCAGCACTAGCGCTGTATTGCTTGTAAGTAACACGAATTGTAATCCAAGTGCCAATAAATCGAATCTAGAACCTGTTATTTGTTACGTGGTCCCCCCTCCCCACATGTGACAATACTTTTCATAAGTTCATATAGCATGACTTCAAGGTAGAGTCCCCTCCAAATTTTAGGCAATAAGAAATTACCTTCACATTACATCATCTTGGGTTCTCGTGCTTGGTTGTGTGTTTCTTTGTGCACTCTGCTGCAGTTGGGAACATTTCTGTGGTTGCTGCTATGCATTAACTTAAAAAGTAGTCAGTCCCAATTACAGGAATGCAATGAAAGTGCTTAGACTTCAATACAGATTTAACTAATATCTCTCAGTGAAGTCAGAGGTTCATCAAAAAGCAAAACCAGATGATATGGATTAACTATGTTGACAATGTTCATAATTTTGAAGACAAAAACAAATAAAGTTAACTGTTCTTTGCAACATAAGGCCAGTGACACAGAAACAAACAGTACATGAAGAGGATGAAAATTTGGAAATCATGGCATTGCCAGGAAAGATCAATCACCAAACCAGCTGATGGACTAATGATCTAGGCAAACACCAACCACTTCACAGCATACTTAAAGACTGATAACTTTGGTGTTCTAAAAAGTGTTACCATTTCCAAGCAAGCAAAGGCATATGTATACCTAAATAATGTGACAATTCTGCCGCATTTAAAACAGGCCCATATGTAGCACATGTTCAAGTCAGCTCAATCTTCATTCATGCGTTATGTGTGGACTTTGCTTGTAAAGTATGGCTTGTAATAAGTGGCCAGTTATAAGTATAGAAGCTCATGTAACTTACTTACTTACTTACTTACTTACTCATGGAGCTGAGCCCTTCTGGAGGGGCTGCCACTTCTGCAGCTACTCAAGGATTTCCCAGCATTTTATGGAACCTGAAGGTTCATTACCCTGTTCACAAGAGCCCTCCACTGGTCCCTATCCTGAGCCAGAACTATCCAATCCATACCATCCCATCCTATCTCTCTAAGATTCATTATAATATTGTCCACCCACCTACACCTTGGTCTTCCCTGTGGTCTCTTTCTTTCTGGCTTTCCCACCAATATCCTATACACATTCATCGTCTCCCCCATTCGTGCTACATGACCTTCCCACCTCATCCTCCTTGACCATTCTAATTATACTTGGAGACAAGTACAAGTTATGAAGCTCCTCATTATGCAGTTTTCTCCAACCTCCTGTCACGTCATCTCTCTTTGGTCCAAATATTCTCAACACCCTGTTCTCACAAACATCCTCAGTCTATGTTCCTCCTTTAATGTCAGACACCAAGTTTCACACCCATACAGAACCACAGGCAAAATTATAGTTCTGCATATTCTAATTTTTACGTTTTTGGACAACAGATGAGAAGACAAAAGGTTCTGGACTGAATAATAGCAAGCATTACCAGAGTTCAATCGCCTCTTAATTTCCTCCTGAATCAGGTTTCAATCTGTTATCGTTATTCCAAATATCTGAACTGTGCCATATTTTCAAAACATCTGTTTCCTATCTTTATGTCATGATTTTG